CGGCTGGTGCAACGGTGCAACCCTTGGTTTTCTATCCTCACTTGCCCAAAGACGAACATTTGACAGAGAAATGGTGGACACGTTTTGGCTCATGAGAGAACCCCGCAGTCTATTTGGCACGAGGGCCGTTGGCTGAACAGTGGCTCGGTGTGGCTTTGTTTCCGACCCCCAGCCCACCCCAGGAAGCACCAAAGAGCGAATAAGTAAAACTGGCCTTGGGTCTTATGGAAGTGGACATGGGCGTCGGTGAAGCAAGGCAATTACCAAAGAAAAGAACCCTGGCAAATGGAAACAAGGACCAAAGAACCGGTTACCTGGTGGTTTAATGTTGACCCATACCCACATTCTAGGCAACGCTTTAAAGGACACCTACCATTTTGCGGGTCTTTCCAGGGACAAGCCCAACAGGGTGTCCTTTCATTTGCACAAGAGTATGTTTTACTTATTTTATTGTTTGTTTTATTTTCCCCTGGTGGCTTTAAAGGGAATCGATTTCACTACTGGAGACTTGTTGAAAACAAAAGAAGAATAATGTTTTTTTTCCAGAGGACTGAAGCAACCGGATGTGTTGCTGAAGTTTTGTTGTGGCCAAGGACGACCACCTGGAGGAGTCGAAATTGCCATTGACCTGGGCGCAACCCTCAGCTCGCGGGGGGTCGGGGGACCTGAGCGCTGCAGGGGAAACGGGGCCCAAACGCGGCGTCTTTTTGATTGAGCCTCGCGTGCGGCCCCTGTCAAGGGGAAGCTCAACAAAAAGAGCACCAGGTTCAAATAAATTTGGGGTTTGCTATTTTTTGACATGCCTCCGGCTGGTGATCTTTGGGGGCTTCGAAGGAACCAAGGAAAAGCGCATGTTTGGCCTCTGGTCTGTCAAACTACCCATGTATCCAGCCGAAACTTCGTGATGCACTGGGTCTTCAAGGGGAGGTCAGGAAAAGCTTCGCGGCTGTGGCCCCAAATAGGTGTACCGCTGGCTGAAAGCAATCCACTGGACAAATTATAGGTCCTTAGTTCTTGGCCATTTAGACGGTGCTCGCTTGCTGTTGGGATCGGAAAGGGCGGGGAGATTTTGCAGCCCTATCTTCAACATCCTCCCCCCAGATACGTCGCGCTTAGGTGCTCCAAAGATCGCGGCAATGCATGTTCATCAGCCTGTTTTTCTTGCTTGCGATCACGTTCACCGGTGCCTTGGCGTGACGCAAAGGCTCAGGGCAGACGAATGAATACCTCAGTGTTACGATCCTGAGGGCTACCCAGGCTCCATCTGTCGGACACGTGCTCCTGGGGAAAGGAAGGAACCAGCTACGTTTGCAACTTTGGCAGTGAGCAAATGAGTTTGCCATACGATGAAGCAGTGGCTCATGCCCAGATCATCAGATCTCGTGTTGGGTTTGTGAAAGTTTGGCACTTGATTGGTTGTAGCAAGGGCATTCTTCACTGTCTGCAATGACTTGCTGGTGCGATAGGCAGGGAATGAGGGAATGATCCCATCCCTTGTGGCTTCCTTTGGGAGTCCCCCAGGTTCCTATTGAGCACCAGCCAAAGAGAAATGGAATGATCCCTACAAACCATCCAACTGGTGGCTTCCGTTGATGAATCCGGCCAGGTGACCCTTTTCCGTCTTCAGGTCTTTGATTCTGGCAGGGGGTCGCCGCTACGGTCCCTGGCCCTGGGAAAGTTGCAAAAAGCATTCGGTGAAAAAAACAAGCCGAGGCGTCATCTTTATGGTGATTTGGGTGCTGTGCAACACCCAGAACGATGTCATGGACCTGACCACAAAGAGACTGGGCCGCAATTTTACGGGGCACTACCCCCAACCTTGGGGAACAAGGGAACGGCTGACATTTGCCATGTTGGTTGGTTTGCTTGGAATGTTAAACCAAGTTAAGCCGTGTTGCAGAATGTGGGGGTGCATGTAAATTTGCAGGAGTGTGGCAATTTAGTTTTTGCAAGTCCCACCCAAGGCTTTGATTCTATGTCCAGTTGAAATGTGGGTTCTGCTGAGATCCTAATTCCCTGTTGAAAAACATTGGGAGAGCAGATGTGTATCAAAGTCTATCAATAGGGTCCATGGGGGGTCCCAGGAGGTTCCATTGCGGGTCTCGTCCAAATGCCCCCCCCTATCCTTTGCGGGCACAACATCGTAATAGGCGAAGCAAGGAAGCAAGCGTGAGCAGTTCACGGCAATCTAACTTGCCAACCCAAAGTTCACAGGCGCAACCCAATTTGCACTTTGACATGCATTCACAAATCGACTTGTTTTGGAGGGCCCCGTAATTAGTACGACTGCAGCTGGAGGTCTGGAGGGAATTGTTGCGGGTTTAGACGAAATATAATTTGCTTAGCATTGCCAAATTCTTTGCAATTGTGGGAGATGAGGGTCTGTAAACATGCTATGAATGCATGTGTGAAGAGGGGCAAGGGATCAGGTGAGTCTCACAATGTAATACAGCAGTATCCATCAACCAGGGGCTCCAAGATCAGGGTTCTCATTATCATTTGGTTCCATGGGGCCATTCCGCATGGGGAGTTGCCATTGGGCGTTGCTTGCACTTGATGAAAGGCCTTGTTGGGAAGCTGACTTTGACAATCGGCTTTAATGGGCCGATTCTGGTTTCTTCTCAGAATTGTGGTCCCCCCAAAGTTGGCAATGTTATAGTGTTTCCCCGTCGAAAGCAAACCGCAGAGAGCTGCCCCAAAAAGAAGCACTTGAGTCTCGACTGCCTCGGGAAACGTGAGCCAGCCAACCACTCCATCTTCCAAAGGTCGTTTGAACGGGGCGGCAATGTGGATGAGTCTCAAAATAAATGAACCCCCAAACCGAGTTGTTTCCCTTTGGATTCCCATTGAAACACAAGCAGATTACCGTCAACAAAAAATGCACGACCGAATCCAGGCGGCCAGGTACCATCAGAGGCCCTTAGGTGCCGCCATCACTGGCTTCAGCTTGGTGGCCTCAGGTGGCCTCCATTGGAGCCTGTCTATTCCCAGCATGCCCCCCTAGGTCAAAGAGGCGTCAACTCGCGAAAAGCGCAGCTTACTTGGAGATGGTCCGCGTAAGTGTGTTATGCGTTGTTGGCGCCCGGATCACCCCCTCCGTGTGTGTCTGTGAGTGGGGGATTTGCCTGGTTAGGAGCTCGCGTTGCTTCATAATCGATGGCACCGGAGGCCAACCGAGCTCACCCTTGATGAATTGCTTTTTACATGTGTTTTCCGAGTCATAGC